TATGTTGTAGAACTACACTTCCCTTGATGCTTTGCCAGCTTTAATTTGTAGCTCTATAACAGATGGGGTCTACATTTAACTGCTGCTGTCCTACAATGCAGCATTAATATGTAAGATCGCCCATGTATTTGAAAAAAAAATGGGAAACAATGGGGTTTATTCCCTAAAGTGGAAATTGTAGAAAGACAACAAGTGAAAAGCAAATTTAAGGCCAAAAAAGTTAACTAGGAAAAATTTGGTTCAAATCAGCTCATTTTCTAGTTTAGCTATTTTAAGCTATTGTTGAATTAGTAAATACATTCCAAAGTGTGACTTATGAGACATATTTACCTATATGTATATAAATAAACTTCAATGGAACACTTCACGCACCATAACCACTACAGCATGTTGTTGACATTATGATAAGCGCTACAGAATCTGTTGGCGCTATATAAATGGCAATAATAATAATAATAATGATAGCACAAATTCCCTGGTGCCCCACAAGAGTCAAACTGATTTATAACCTGTGGTTGACAGGGCACCACTCCCTGCCTCCACTACTTCCTATATGGAGAGTGTCAGCTGATCATCCTCAGCCAATGAGCTAAGCCCTTCACTGCCGGGCACAGCTCAGATTAGAGAGCTTCCGTCTCTCTATAGGAAATAGTGAAGGTATGGAGTGAAGCCCAAAAGAACCTTTCCTTTAAATTGATAAAAGATGGAGAGTAAATTGCTTTGAGCTTTTTTGGGGAAAAACAGCTATTGCCTGTACAGAAATCAGAATGTAATTATCAGACAGCTCACCGAAGCACAATATTTTCTTTCTTTTAGTCAGAACACATTTCTATCATTCACCAAGGTTCCTACCTTTTCCATGTGCTTTGGTTCAATCACTGGAGTTCTTGTGGGAAAGAGAATAGATCTGTGTCTCCAGCAGCACACTTCTCTTCCCTTCTGCAATAGCGCTTTCCTCCACAGTATTAGAGCTTGGTGTTATTTTAAGGTCCCCCACACTCACAGCTACTTAGGATGATCAAGACCGATGAGCTGTATAATGGACACAGGTCACTATCCTATATGTTGTAACTATCAATCTCTTATATGGGCTACCCATATTTTTACACTAGGGTTTTTCAGTTCCAAAGTTTCACTGCAACATACATCCGCAGAAGCAAGCGACTGCTAGTTTTTTTTCTCTTAATGTAACATTTAACGAGTAGATTTAATAGTTTTTCAATTAAATTTCAAAAAGGGAAGCCGTTCATCACTCAAAATCTCATAAATGTTTTAAGGTCCTGAATTCTGTTGCAACACATTAGGCTTAAATGAAAACTCCAAAGCACCATAACCACTACAGCCTGTTCTTCCAGTGAACAAAATAGATATCTGCCTTTTACTGGATGCATAACAGGTGGCTGGGAAGGACCAAGTGTCAATCCAAGCTAAAATTGTTTGACATATTATGTTGGAACAGAGTCAAACACTCATAGCAACATAATTACTACAGCAGGCTCTGGGTGTATAGTGTTTGAAGAATTCCTTTAACTCAATGTTAAACTCTGTGAAACAGCAGGAAGCACTTCTAGTGACTGTCTGGTAAACATCCACTAGAGGCAGTCTTAACAGAACACTGCACTGCCCAGACAGTCCAAAAAAAAATCACTGTTCAGTCGATATAACCCAATAAGTACAGGCATGGATTTTTCATGCATGTATATATTGGGGGTATATCTTAAAAGAGCTTGCAAAGGCTGCAGATCCTAGCAAGCCCTCCCCTTTTTCTTCCCAAAAGAGACTTTCAGTTTCTTCATAGGGAAAAAAAACATTGAGAAGCTTTTGAATTAGTGCCCATGTGCACACATGTTCCGACTCATGCACAGACGGGCGCACATCTGGCCTGAGGTCTGGAGGTGCTGGTCTGAAGTCTGTGTGGGTAGAGGCAAGTACAGCATGCCTGCCACTTCCTTTACCTCAAGGGACCTATTGGAAGGAGGCTGCACTCTCTCCTGCTTATCTTTCTGGGGGGGTCTGCCTTCACGTTGGCAGGTGGGCTTATCCTCTCATGGCAATTGGAGGTAACTAAAAAACCTCCATTTGTTTAAAAATACATAAGGATTAAGGAGAGAGCACAGGTAACTTGTTTTTCTTTAGTTTTTACTATATATTGGGGCTGATGTGTACTGCAGTCATTGCTGTTGCCCAGTGATGGGAGTGAGCGCAGGACTTATCTTTCTGCATTTTTTGTATCACTCATCCTTGTTACAATGCAGCCACCCATCCCATGTGTTCCCTATTAAGGGTTAATAATGTATAGGGGTGTATATAAGAAATACCCCTTTCTGTCTCATTAGAGATATCTTTGCCAGAAGCTCAAGGAAGCAAGGTGAATGGTTAGAGTTAGGACCCACCTGGGGGGGTCTGCCTTGATGTTGGCAGGTGGGCTTATCCTCTCATGGCCATTGGAGGTAACTAAAAAACCTCCATTTGTTTAAAAATACATAGGGATTAAGGAGAGAGCGCAGGTAACTTGTTTTTCTTTCGTTTTTACTATATATTGGGGCTGATGTGTACTGTAGTCATTGCTGCCGCCCAGTGATAGGAGTGAGCGCGGGGCTTATCTTTCTGCAAATTATATTGTATATTGTTGTCTAGGCATAATTTTAGTGGCCTGCATATATGAAAGAACTGTGTGAGAAATCTCTGGTCCCAATCTATAATAGAATTTTTAATTATTATTATTTTTTTTAATGAGTACCCTGTTTTTATTAAACAGTCCTAGACAAGTTGTGAGAAATGTAGCTCACAGGGATCCACATGGCCCAGGTATAATTATAATAAATTACCAGGACATTTTATCCTTGGTATATGATAGTACAGTACCATTTATTCCTCTAAATAATTCAATAGACACTCTCATCACTCCTAGGCACAATATCCAGAGGATAACGCTAGCAAAGCGGCAAGTAGAAAAATGGTTTTCCATATTAAAACCTACTGCTTTTTCTGTCCTCTGTTCTGCCAGTACTCCAGTAGTGTAGCTAATAAAACACACTTCACATACAGATTTTACTTATTACAGCTTTGAGCAGGAGGTGTTTATTTTACAGCACAGAACATGGTCTCATTCCGTTCTCCACAGGTCGTTAGTTGTGTTCAATACACCTGCTTGGCAAGTTTGATTTAGTTTAATGGCTCTGTCCAAGAGGAAGGCTGCTTTGAATAAGAGACTGCAATCAAACTTTATTTGCAGGGATGGAAATGCTTTTAAACTTAACAGAACATAATCAGGGAATTAAATAACAGACCTGAAGACATTATTACCAACAGGAAAGAATTCAGCGATTCTCAGCTAGGCCAAGGGCTCAGGATGATAACTTAATAAATTCACAGTGACCTTTTATATTCAAAGTTATTGGGGGTTAAACTAGACCAACAAGATCTATAGAGAATAGCAGTGTTCTTCATTCAGCTTTCTCTGCAAAATTAAAATCAATTCAGCTTTACAATATGTAAGTGAATAGTCTTTGGGGATTCCAGTTAAACAACATTGTCATTTCCCTTGGTATTGGAGAATATTTCATAGGTTTAAGTAGGCAACCTTTGGCAGATGTAGGCAACCTTCGGCACTCCAAATGTTGTGGAATATATCTCCCATACAGCATACAACCATAATACTGGCAAAGAATCAGGGATATGCAGTCCACAACATTTGAAGTGTCGGATATTGCTATCTCTGGTAAATGGAGATAACCAAAAGATTTGCATTCTCCTGTAAATAAACATATATCTTCACAATATGTCATCAGTTTCTTACAGCAGTCCAAATCGCTCAGAAATATAGCTGTTTGAATGTGTTTGAATAAAGTATTGTAATAGCAGGGGCACAATTGAAGAACCCAATGCATTTGGTATCTGTGCGTAGAATCCAGATCATTGTTTCACAGAATCCAAAACGATAAAAAAAAAACAAAATACTCTAGCACACAGCATTCAATGGTGTAATGGTGATTTATTTAGCCATCCACTTTCTTGGATGGCTTCATACATCACCATTACGCGTGAATGCGGTGTGCTGGAGTATTTTTTTTTCCTTTACACAATAAAGTTGCACAGTGGTGGGGCTCAACCAGAGCCGATCCTGGGCAGGTGCACGGATGCACAATGGCCAATGTACTCTGTAGATAGAGGTGCATTGGTGGGGTGTGCAATGCTAGGCTCTGCCCGCTCACATTAGCATCTGCCCCTCTCGTTAGACTCCACCTCACGATCAAACTGAGAGAGAAATTGTCTAATGCCCTGATTAGCCATTTGGGCACAAAGATGGCACTGATTAGCCATTTGGGCAAAAAGATGGTTCTGATTAGCCATTTGGAAACAAAGGTGGCTCTGAGAAGCCCTTTGGGCACAAACAAAGCACTGATAATATATTTTTGAACAAAGCTGACTGATTAGCTATTTTGAGACACACCCACCTGGGGGCACCAAAAATGTTTGTGCACCCAGGCTTCAGTGACCTAGGATTGGCCCCTAGGCTCAGCTCAGACCAAGCTCTATTTAGTCTGTACTGAAAGCAGGAATTGGTGTGGCCACATGTAATAAATCAAGCTATTTTATAGTAGTTATGTTCTGTTGTAGTGATTTGCTCTTCTCCTGTCCAATGATTTTCAGTTCTGGCATATATAAATAGGTGAATCATGTTATGCCCTGCTGACGAGTTCCCATTTGACGTGTTTAGAGATTAGATGGATAGACTTTACTATTTAGTACTTGTCCCAAGTCGCTATTGAATGAACTGAGATTGGGGATTCTGAAACATAGAACCATGTAGATGCATGCATGTATGCTGATTAGAATGACTGATTTTTCTTTCTTGATTTACTGCTGAGTTAACTTGCATTGAATTTAGAAATACAAGAGAGCATCTTGTTATATCATATATCTAAATTAGTGATGTCGCGAACTGTTCACGAACTTCCCGCGAACGGCTCGCCGCGGTTCGCGGCGAGCTCCGGTCAGCTGACACATCCCGGCCAATCTCTAGCAGACCCTCCCTCCCAGACCCTGCCACCTCCTGGACAGCATCCATGTTGAAGCTGCCTTCAACATGGATGCTGTCCAGGAGGTGGGAGGGTCTGGGAGGGAGGGTCTGCTGGAGATTGGCCGGGATGTGTCAGCTGACCGGAGCTCGCCACGAACCGTGCTGAGCCATTCGCGGGAAGTTCGCGAACGATTCGCGACATCACTAATCTAAATGTATGATTCTATCTTGTCTCTATTAACTTTCTTTGTTTCACCTACACAAACTATCCGTATGTCAGAAATATATATATACTTTGTATCTGTCCATACTAACATAGTTATAATAGGGATTCAGCTACTATTAATATTAAACATAGGATTGAATAAATGTTTATCTGGTGGACAAATGTCAAATGCTTGTCATGTGACACATTTAACCTTTACTATCTTCCTTAGCATTTTGAATAAGCCACTTCTTAATTGCAATTAAATTAATAAGATAATGATTTATGTTTATCTTATTAGGTAAACAAAGAAGGCACCCCCCCACTTTTTTCCCCCCAAGATCCAGTAACACTTTAATTGTTCTATATCCTAGTCAAATGTATTTCAACCACTGAATAAGGGCATAATCGTTTTTTTAATTGTAAGCTCATTTGGGTAGGACCCTCTTTACCTACTGTTTTAGTATGTCAGTCATGTTTTGCTAGAATTAAGTGTTTTTCTTGATTACCTATTGTACAGTTCTGCAGAACATATTGGTGCTATTTAAATAATTGTAATCCGTAAAAATCGGTGCAGCTCATTGCATGCAGGTAAAGGGGATGTCCTTAAATGTAACATACAGATAAAACATAAAGAAATCTTGAGGTTTGATTACCACCCAATAAGTGTGTTATATCAAGTAGTCTGCTCTAGAATATTTTATCCAGAAAATACAGAGATAACCTGCCTCTACTCTGAGATTTCCCACAAATTACTGCTTATGCTTGCCCTAAAACTATGTTCAAAACAGTTAGAGAGTTGGGCAGGATGTGAGCTTTATGGGGCTAGGTGTACTCTATGAGCTCCTTACCTGATCTGGTATTCAGTCATCAATTACACTTTCAGAATGCCAATCCGACATTAATTAAAATGTACTGGTCTCTGGGCCCAGTTCAGGTGTCCTGGATTGTTACTGCAGAGTGCTTACAGGCAAAAACTCCTCCGCGACTAACGTCCCAGTAGCTGGGAGAAGCGACTGACCTCCTGACTCTGGGCTTGCACCCACAGCAAGTGCTTATAGCTCCATTAAACCCCCCCCCCCTTTGGACCAGTGGGGGATATTAGTGCTCACCTAAAAACTAGAAACAGGTGCACAATAGCATCCTTCAACGAAAACCTAACCTATGTTAGCGTCTGGGACTGGTGGGGTAGTTCTAAGGAGACCCAGTATCTTAAATGACCTCTGGTGAGTCAGTTGGCATAGGCTGAGCACCCTCCCCGCTATAGGGCCTGGTTTCCTATCCTCTTTAGTCGTTAAGGCTCCTACAGGGCAGTGTTTATATTCCAGCACCTCTATCCAAACACTTGTTTTTTTTATTCCTGTTCCACACTGTGGCATTACCTTTTGCCAGTATTACCATGGTACTTCTGGGCCCTGTGCCCTCCATTAACCTTAGTTCATGTATCCGGTGCTCTTGTCTCGCATATTACCCTGATAATATTCACCAATAGCACTATTTTATAGCCTGGCATATTTATTATAAAATGAGGCCTTCTAGCTCACTGTGTGACATGCCACAAGAAATTCCATAGTATTCTAGAAAGTTTCATCCTTTGTCTTGATGCCTGTTTCTATTGGTTATATGTGGATATTATTAACTGCGTTCTGCTTATTTGTGTGTGATGTTGTCACCACCGTGTTGCATTGCTTTTATGTTTCATGCCTCAATAAAATATTGATTGACAAAACAGTTGGAGACAAATACATTTTGTGTTAGAGATGGAAACTTGAGTAATCTAGTCTAGATTCAAGGACATGACTCTTTAAATTCTAGTGATGGTTGTCCCCGTACCTTTAACTCACTTTTTGCAAAATACAGTCTGTGGAAAACTGATTTCACAAATGATTCTCTTTTGAAACCAGATTTTGTTTTAATGCATTTTTTTATATTTACAGTAGATATTTCTAATTTCTGTCTTTTTTCTTGTTCTTGGCCCATATCCTGATTTATTTATAGTTGGAAAATAAATTAAATAAAGATTTTCATTAATATTCCATTACTTCTGAGGTTTTACATTTTATTATTTCAAAGGTTTTGAAATCATGATCATGATATGCATCGCTTATCTGTGATATTTAATTCAAATTTACCACCTGGAAATAAAAATTGCAATGGAAAAGCATAATTTTCATTATTCTGTTTCAGAAATAGACATTTTGGAACCATTTTCAATTAAAGAGATGTTTTCCAAATGTGTTTGCAAATTGAAGATTATGTTAGCTTCAGTGTACTGATAATCTTAATTTTAATAATGACTGGAGGCGCGTATTTTGCATAATCTTTCTTTACTAACTCCATAGCAGCAAAGAAAAGAGTGACAAAATTTAGAACCAATCACAATGTAGTATAGGGTATAAGAGGCGTAACATATGACATCATTACCTCTTTAAAACTGCAACATCACAAGGTCATAAATGCAGAATATTAATAGAATAACTTGAAAAAGTCCATAGAATAAGGTAATGGAAAACTAATATGAGTAAATTGAACAGGAACAGGTAGAATGCAGATGAAGGCATCCTGCTTTCAAACGATGATCTCCCATGATTTGATGATAAGGTTCCATGGTGTGATGATGACGAAACCTTGCATGAAATCTTTAATATTTCCTTGTGGTTTCTAATTAAGCTGAAACGAGAGTATAAAGGGTATTAGATTCCAAAAAAATGATTGTGTAAAACAATGAATGTCTATCCCTTAATTTAACTTAATAACATCTAGTATAATAATAACAAAATGTCCTTCCGTCTAACGGTGTTAACTAAATATCTCACCCATATTGAGTATATGTATACAAATCTTCGAAAGAAGGCAAGGCATTAAAACAAATGCTACCATAAGTTAGGTATTTATACAATAATATGAGAAAACAAAATGCCATAGATAGATATGAAATTAATAGGGAGGGAAGAACGAAAGAACGAAAGAGAGTAGGAAGGGAAAATACTCGCCTCCTGTCATTTTTAAAATTAAGATTATCAGTACACTGAAGCTAACATAATCTTCAATTTTATCACATGACAGGAGGCTTCGTATTTTGCAATTTTAACGCTGGGAAAGTAGAGCAAAAGCTGGATTATCAAGAGGACGGAAGTTAAATGTCCTAAAATTGGATTCTCTGGTCCAGCCTGCCACCCATAAGATGTCTGAAAGGGAAGCACCTGCTGCATAAGCTGAAGATGCCGCGGCCCCATGAACGGAATATGCTCTAAAAGTTTGGTCAATACCGGCAAGGGATAGTAGCCATCGAACCCATCTGGGTAACGTAGTGGCCAAAGCTGGAACGTAAGGGCGGACGTATGAGATGAGAAGTTGACGATTGGAAGATTGCCGCAACATCGCGGTAGTGATGGAGAGTAGAGACCACGCAGAGTTGTGGGTCTAAAGGGAAGAAAGGGTAGAAGACCGAGGAAGAGTTGGACTTGCACCGTGAGACCTGAAAGGATACCCCCCGTCGGGCAAAAGGTAAATGCGTTGACATCGAATGCTCATACGTCAGAAACTCGTTCAAAGGAAACCAGACAGAAGGTGAATTTCGCAGTAAGTTGGCAGAGTGACAAATCTTTGTTGGGAGGCCAATCCCGCAAGAATTGTAAAACAATGCCGACGTCCCAAAGGCTTGAATAAAGAGTGGGTCCTGACCGACAGGCGTCCCATGGGTCGGAGTATGGGCAGCTGAGATGGCTGAATGTACCACGTTGATAGACCGATAAGACTTTCTGGCTGTGAATAGAGAGGTTAAGATATTCATGATGGAGGAAGTAGGTGCAGTAAAGGGATTGAGATCCCGTCCCAAACACCAACTTGTCCAGGAGTGCCATGCTGATAAGTAGCACCTCCTCGTTCCTGGGGCCCACGAGTCCCATAGGAGATCCTTAGTTTCCTGCGATAGGTCCTCGGTTCGCCAGGAACCCCGGAAAGAGTCCAGGCCACCAGGGAAAGGCGTTCCTCCATGACCAGCGAATGAGGTAGTCCCAATGGGTTCTTGAGGATGTTCGGAGCCTCTGGTAGGAGGAGGGGTCCGACAGTTCCAGAAGGTCCGGGAACCATGGTTGACTCTCTGTATGCGTATCCGGTGCAGGACCCTGGTTATCATTGAGAAAGGTGGGAATGCGTAAGCTCCAGTTTGTGGCCATTGTTGTAGAAAGACATCTGTTGCTAGGCTCTCCGGGTCTGGGAGCCAGCTGAAGAAGTTCAGCCCTCTCATAGGCGTCATCTGCCATGTCCCTAATTCTTGCTAGTGGCCCAATGGCGTCTAGCAGCTTGTCCTGGGCTCCCTTAAAACCACGTTCTATGCCCTTGCACGGGTCCCGACCCCCTCGGGACATGAAAATAGTCATGAGTGGGTCGAATTCGGGGGTGTGTGCCACCTTGTGTGGCAGAATTTGGCGTGGGCATTCTGATTTAATCCATTTACGCACTTCCTTGTCCAGAGATTTTCTGAGCCAGAAGTGCATAAATCTGGCTAAATGTTCAGGAGGGGACCACTCCTCCGAGCGGGGATGACGGATTTGCGCGTTGCAGCGGCCTCACCTTTCCAGTGGCGTTTAGGCCGATGAATGGGGGCTCACCCCGGCCAGAATAAGGGATAACCCAACTGGCTTAACCAACCCCAAGTGTTAGACACTAACCTGATTTGGTCCCACTGATTGAAAACAGGCAGGGTATAGAAACAGGTTTGCTTTGACTCAGAGCTGTAGAGATAGGCAGTTTGTCTGGTAGCAATATCCCTTTAAAATGGCCGCCGGACTAATAGTACCTCCCCTAGTCTGGGTGGCAAATCAAAGATTTGCACAAATGCAGGCGTTCGTGAGCACAAACAGCTGAACGTGAGCTTTCTGGTAATGCTGTTCAGGTGTTTGTGTAAACGAGCATGCGAATGCGATCGC